ATATTAATAGCCACATGTGGCTAGTGGCTACTGTATCAGACAGGGCAGGTGTGGACCATGCTCTTTCTGAGTTCTGCCTATATTTTGCCAAGACCAAGCAATACTCTAATTTCTTTAGTTCCCTTCTTCTTCATTTTTTTTAATTGAAAGAACATTTCCAAACAAGATATCAAAATTATATTACTTTTATTAATAACTTCCATATATTGAATACCTACTAAGTATTGAGTTCTTTTATTCTCACTTTTTATTCTAACAATAGGTCTTCAATGTATATATTAATATTTTTTAACAGATGAAGCTGAGATTCAATAAAGTCAGGAAGATAGTAAAGGATGGAGTTTGAATTTAAACCTAAATCTGAGTTTGAAGTCTATATTCTTTCTACCACATCACACTAAAGCTACCAAGCATATAAGAATACTTAAAATTTTTATCTGTGTCTGCTTTTCTAGATTAAATCATACCTTTATTACATTTTATTAGCATAAGAAATAAAATTTTCTGTCACTTCATCATTCTGTGTACCTAGTTCTCTCTCTGTGTTTGTTACAGCCAAAGAGAGTGACTATTGTCTAGAGCAGAAGTAGTTCTCTTAAGAAACACAAATGGAATTGTAAAAAGTATGGACAAATTTATAACTAAGAGGGTCATAAATTGCTACTAGCATACTGAGACACAGTTATTTTTAAAGCTTGTTAGGAAGAACAATTGCGTGTTCTTACTGCATGTTATTTGAGGTAAATATTTGTAGCTGAAAATTGAGATGGATTGACCCTGGCAGTCATGAGTTCAAATCCTATGTTCTTATGATAAACCATTAGCAAATTAAAGAATCAGGATTCTACATAGAGCTCAGTTGTAAGCTACTAATTTATTAGTTCAAGTAAGGTCTCAAGTTTGATCTACCTATGTCATTACACAAAAAATACTAACTGCTTGAAAATGCAAGACTTACACAAATCAAACATAAACACATGCTTATATGTTTGAATAAATTCATGAGGAACAATATTAATTTGAGAGAAAGCAGAACAGCATAATACAATTGACCACATAATTGTAAAGAAAACCTCAATTAATCAATTTTAAGTGTTCTTTTCGGTTGTTGGATTTAGCCTTCTCGAATCAGAGTTTAGAAGGCTGTGAAATGAGCCAGAGGAGAAAAAGAAAAGACTAAATACCCAATTAGACACACAGTGTCAACAGGAGGCCAGGTTTCAGAACAAGCAAATAAGGCCAAGAGCCAGCTGTTTTAGGAACAACTGGTACCTAGAGATATGAGCTAAAGTGAGCTCTTAAAAACTAACAGTTAGTCCTCAAGAGAAAACCAGGTGAAACACAAAGTAAAAGAACATGGTGTCTGGCAAACTAAAAGTAAAAGAACATGGGTCAGATATTCATAAAAAGCCCAAGTGGGTGGGCATTTGGCATGGGCAGGATGGTAGGTTACTGCAAGGAAGGAGAAAATGAAGTCAACCCAGATGTGAGGGAAACTGCAGTGCAAGACAAGAAATAAAGTCTCTGGGAGGGCAGTATAGAAGCCTGGCCACTGAAGAACTAGAGAGTAAAGGAAGCCAGTTGTGGGCCTGAGTCTACAACAAGAGTGAGCTCAACGCAAAACTGACTCATGGCTGAGAAAGTGAGCTGTGCTTCAGGAATCAGGAACAAGGAGGTGTCTGCTGGTGTGGGTAAGGACTTGGACCAAGAGAAGGCCCAGGGCAGTTTTTAAAAATGGCAAGTCTACTTGATGTCTAATATTGTTGAGAAAAAAGAGTGGCCCTGTAGGAATTAACACTAACAATATCTCCCTAGGGCCAGCTGAGAAAGGTTAGAATGCCAGGGCCCATACCCCTGGATAGATATGCATTTGGGCAGTGGGAACTTGGAAGGCAGCATGCATAGTGACCTAATTCTCTCCACCTTTTCTCTACCTAAAAGCGTAATCAGAGCTTATCAGTGATTTTTCACCCTGGTAAGTGGAGACACATTCTCTGAACCACGGGTGTTCTCTGATGAAAGTGGAAGATGAGCCTCTTTTCCATTTTACTGTCCTCTTTCTCCCCTGTAAGAACCAAATGTCTTAGATGCCATCAATTTGCACCAAAGGAAAATTGCAGAAGATTTCCTCTGTATTTGCTCCTCCGATGGGAAAGGAGGATTGTGAGTACAAAAGGCTACACTCCTCCTTGATCACATGGTAAAATGTCACTGATTATCTCTGCAACATAACCCAGTAAAGGGATGCTTTGCAAAACTCAAATTGACTCAATGTTCTTCCATTGGAATCCATTTAGTCCCTTTCTATATGTATTTACTGTGTTTCCCTATCCCATGTATAAAAGTCATGGTAGTTGAACTAAGTGTTTAGCTTGTTTTCATTATTTGCTAGAAGCTTTGGCTTCTGGGAGGAGTCAAGGATGGAGAAGAAACAGGTGGATGGGGGTGTATCTCAGAGCCCACTGTCTAAAACTCAGCAGTGAAATCTGCTTTTGCCTTCCCCACCTTTATTTCCCATAGTCTTGTGTATGTGTGATTCCTCTTGTGGCTGTCCTGTTGTAACTCTCAGGTATTAGTTTCTTCTTGAAACTATTATATAAATTGGGCTAGAGTCACTAGAGTTACTTGGGAAACAGCAAATCAATCTCATAATTATCATAAGAAAAACATTAAAACCAGCAAAACTTATTAAAGATATGCCTATCAAGTTTATAGATATTTTCTGTTATAAAGAATGAAGTTTATATTCCATATAGTAGTATAATATGCCCAGAAGGAGGCAAAAATGCAATTAAATAGTGAGAATGAACCTTGCAAAAGCTTTATGAGAGCCATGCTGTTTAAAGGATTATGTTTTTGGATAGAAATAAATCTAACAATTGAAATTGTTGTTTTCTTAGAACTAATTCAAGAAGCATTCACTTCTGGAAATCTCTTTTCTTAGTTGTTCCTTTGTTTCTAATTATTTTGAACATTTGCTTTCTGTTATCATAGATAACAGAAAACAGATTTTAAAAAAGCAGTTCTGTTGGGTCATTGGCTTTACAAGTGACCTGCCTTTGCTTAAATAGACATTTGTTGGGTGACATCTCTGAATGATTTTTTTAAAAAGTTATCAGAGGTGAGAAGGGTAATTGAAGCTTCCAGAATCAAGAAAAACTACAAGCGGCTCATTTTTATAAATGCTATTGTCTTATATAACCCCCTGGAAGACACCCAGTTCTCACTTCTGAGAGCTCTCATGAGTCAATTTGTCATTTGATATTTGGAGAGTTTGCAGTAAATTGGAAGAAGTGAATTCTCCTACTAAACTTCAATGACAAACTATCTTGTACTTTAGTTCCTTGGGAACTAAACACAGGGAACCTATTTGATCCCTTTCTTTTCCATGCCCCATGTGTTCCCAATGTCTAGAACAGTTTCTTGCATGTAGTAAGTGCCTGAGAATTGTCTGTAGAATTTAAATTGAATTTTGGATTTTTTTTTCTACTTTTGGAGATGGAATTAAAAAGATATGAAGCCAGGAAGTTTTCCAGTGTTCCCCTCTGACACCCACAGACATCAACCACCCAGACATCTGCCTTTCCTGCACCAGGGAATGGGGCATCCTGCACTGCCCTCTCTCCCTTTCCCTTCTAGCTCTTCCCTCCTCCTGTTTCTCCCCTCTCCTTTTTCTTTCCTTTCCCCTCTTCCTTTGCCTAGAAGTTTCTAACCAAAAAATCTATACACACAAAGAACACTTGCCAATGGGAAAACAGGATGCCACTTTATTAAGAGCTGGGCAAGGACTCAATAATTGCAATGCAAATCTCTCTAGCAAGGCAAATTTGGGGAATAAGGTTTAAGTAAGGAAGCCTGAGTCCCTGTCCCTGACTCTAAGATTCAGGGAATCCACTTATTCTCCAAAACACATCAAAAAGGATATAAGAAGATCTTACAAGAAGTCAGTAGGTCCCCCCAAGGTGCTCACCCAGAGGCACAGAAGCTTCCACTCTGATAGAGGAAACAGCAGAGCAACTCAGGTAGGCTTGTCCAAAACCACACACGAATTCCCACCACAGGTAAAAACACAGCCCAATGACACTCTCATGTCCTCTGTAACCAGGAAACCACTTGTTCTACTTTGGAGAGGAGTTAGTGGAGAACCAGGGGTGGGTGGAAGGATCAAAGTGTTAGCTTCCCTCATGGACGGAGATAGCAAGTGGGAAGAGGGAACTGAAGGTTTCCAGATAGGGAAGCATAGATAAAAAATTGGAAAGTGAATTTAGGATTCTATATGATCTAGATTTTGCAGAGGAAACGAGGCTCTGTGGGATCTGATGTACAACATACATGTGATCAATGGAATAGACTTAAATGTGCCAAAATAGACTTGACTCTCTATGTTAGTTCATATTATACTAAATCATTAATTGCTACTTACCTTAAAAAGGGCACCATACAAATTAATCTGTATTGTAGATCATTACATGTATTAATTTATTCAAAATATCAGATAACCTAACTTTATATTTTTGTATATATCAAGCATGTTTTTTAAAAAGCGCTCCACTTTAATAAAGTATGATAACCTATAAATCATTTATCCTAACTTTTACTTAGCTTTTATTCAAAGTTCAGACCTTGCCAAAATTTGTTCTCCACCTGGTTGAGAATTATTTTCTTTGGATTTAATCTGTTTTTTTTTCTACTGTAGAACACTTATCAAAATAGCTTAATAGACTCAACAAACTAATAAGATTTTGGTAAAATATCATTCATAATTGAGGGTAATAATTTTTCTTTAGAGGCCGTATTTGGTGCCTTTCTGCTTCACCAGGGCAGGTTTTATGCCCCATGAGGGTTAGGAATGGCATATGAACACCCCCGTGGAGGCATGTATACATTCTTTTGTAAGAGTGTATTTGTTTCAAGCATGTCTCTTAAAACACAATTTTTAAAAATAAGCTTTAAAAAAATCCCTGTGAGTATAACAAATTTGTGTCATATTAATTCTGCAGCGCCTTCAAAAGCAAAGATTCTTTCAGAACATGGAGGAGACAAGCCGGGCCCCTTTGTTCCAGGATTGTACTTCTTAAAGAGCCAACTCCGAACCCAACAGGCTGAACCGACACACAGTCGGCCTTCCATGAGTCTCCAAATGCCCAAAGATGGTTCCCGGGAATCTTCCACTGCTCATTGATGTGTTGACAGGCTCTTGAGCAGAAAGCTCAGGCTGTTAGTAGGAATATATGGCTCAGATAGTCAAAAATCGATTCACTCACATTTCTCACACCAGACTCCATTTCTCTCTTCCAAACAATAGAAGTACAGATTTTCTTTTTAAAACCTTTCTCCAAAGAAGTGTTTACATTCCTGCTTCCCCCACAAGGGGGTGGGGGATAAGGTGAGTGAAATCCTTAAGGTGTTTTAAGGCAAGTGGGGTCAGTCCTCCTCCCCCCACAGCCCCCAAGTTGCGCCTGGATTCCAAAGGGTGGATGGGAAGAGCCCGCAGTTGGCAACTGCCCGCCCTCCCTGCTGCTCTCATCTCACTTGGCCTCGCCCTCTGCTCAAGCTCAGTCATGTCTTTTGGGGCCTCGCAAAGAAATGAAAAGTATTGTTTGCTTACAAAGAATGTGGGAACCCCTTTACTTTCTTCTAAAAAGCCTTTCATTTTCCAAACACACATACAGTGCACGCCTATTCTGATGGTTTTAGGGAAATCAATGTCTCTGAGCACAAGATATTAATTCTGGATAATAAAGCTCTGAATTCATACATTTAAAAGTTGGAGAGGGGAGAGGGGGGAGAGAGCGAGAGAGATCGGAGAAAATGCTAGCCCGAATACTGATTTTCCTGTTTTCTACAATCAGAAAACCCTTGACACTCAGCTGAGGCCCCGGAACTGGAACCTTTCTCAAGTTTCCGGGTGCTGAAGGCCACGTGACTGAAGCCTGGCCAATGGGATACAAGAAGTTCCCGCGCGCTTTGCCCTGCGTGTGGGGCACGCGCCCATTCTTCCGGCCCTTCCTCCAGCCCCTGGCCCAGACCAGGGCCTCGCCGTCAAAGGCCAAATCCTAGGGATGACAGAGACAGGACAGGAAGAACCTCGCGCAACGCAGTCACAATACCGGCTCTGGAGCGCCTGTCTCTGGACTCTTGTGTGTGAGAGAAATGCATTTTGTATCTTGTTTACACCACTGAATTAATTTGAGTTTCTATTTCATTTCATGCGGCCAATCGTATTTTCAGCAAAGGTGGATTTTCTACAAAGCTAATGAAGCATAAGCTTCAGAAACCCTTACCAGCCTGGGGGGTTATTCCAAGGCCTGAGGAGAAACTTTCATATTGTGTTCGTATGGTCGTCTCGTATTCTTTTCCTTAAAGAGCTTTCCAGATTGCATGAGCTTCACACCTCATCCCTAGTGAGGCTTTTCATGGGTGCCTCTTGGGACGAGCTGCAACTTTTTGTTAGAAATGCGGAGGGAGGAATGCAGTAGGTCGAGATGAGGGGAAAGAAAGTTTATTTTAACCTCTCCTCATAGACAGCTAACCCCGCGGGCCGCCCAAATGGCGGGAGTCTGGGGCTTTTATAGTTGGGTTTGGGCGGGCTCTCAAAGGGGTGGAGTTTGGGCGGGCCCTCAGAAGGGGCGGGGCCAGTTTAAAGGGAAAGTTCCCATGGAACCTCCCACCCTTAGCCTCTGGGTTCAGCCTAACACTTTTGTGTCAGCCAACTTTACACATGGCACAGTAAATACTTCATAGTTGCTTTTACATGAGGTAAACTTTACGGTACTTGATGAGATTTAGGAATAGTATTACCCGTTGTTTTTCAAAGTACAAAGGGGTTAATGATTCTTTAAGAAAAAGGAGTAACTTGGGGAACTAAAATATTAGCTAATACATCTTTGTTTATGGTTTTAACTACAATATTTCTCAGAGTAGGCAATATGGGAATGTGGATATCCCAGCCAAAGAAAATGCTGTGTTTACTAAACTTACTGGATTACCAAACCTCCTTTTCAAGGAGTAGTTCACAGGTTAGTTTTCCGTGAAGCACAATTTGGAAGCACTCTCCTGGTCTCAGCAGAAAATATTTGTAGATCATCTCTTAGGGGAAACTATGTGTTTTATTTTTGTTGCATTAATGTAAGAAGGTAATTTTTTTTTCCTGATCTTATTTTTTCAAATTTTTCCCTTTCTAGAGTTTGTTGCTCAATATGCATTAATTTCATTAATATTCTCATATATGGGTTGACAGTGGCCCATCTCTCACGTCTCCAACAAAAGCTAGGAGTATTATGCACAACATGTTAGATCACCTGTGGAGGAAAGGGTGTGACTTCAAGGGAGTTGGAGTCACACTGTGGTTTTATGTCCCATGAGGGGTTATTTGATGGTGGGCTACGGAAAACTATAAACACAGTGGAGATGTGGTTCTGCCTAAGGGACCCTTTTCTATGCTTATGTCAGTACTTGTGGAGATGTCCAGGCACATTTATGTGAGCCAGATTTTCATTACAGGGAAATCATTGACTCCATGCTTCTTGTCTTCCACTGAAATTTAAGTATTTACACTGTATTCATCTTCTAGGGCTTCTGTAATAAAGCACCACAAACCAAGTGGCTTAAAACAAAAATTATTTATTCTTTCACAGTGCTGGGAGCTAGAAGTTCAGCGTCAAGGTGTCATCGGGCCATGCTGCCACTGAAATTCTGTGTAGAATCCTTCCTTTCCTTTTCCTATCTTCCGGTGGTGGACATGGATTCTTGGCATTCCTTGGCTGTGTTACTCCAGTCTCTGCCTCTATCCTCATGTAGTGTTTTCCTTTTCCCACTGGGGTTAGGACGTCAACATATTTTTTGGAGGGGGCACAATTTAATCCATAGCAACATCAAAAAATCCTTCATTATCTGTGGGGCAGCTTGATGTCATGGTGGACTTAGGCGTCAGAAGGCCTGAGCAGGCCGGGCGCGGTGGCTCACGCCTGTAATCCTAGCTCTCTGGGAGGCCGAGGCGGGTGGATTGCTCAAGGTCAGGAGTTCAAAACCAGCCTGAGCAAGAGCGAGACCCCGTCTCTACTATAAATAGAAAGAAACTAATTGGCCAACTGATATATATATAAAAAAAATTAGCCGGGCATGGTGGCACATGCCTGTAGTCCCAGCTACTCGGGAGGCTGGGACAGAAGGATCGCTCGAGCCCAGGAGTTTGAGGTTGCTGTGAGCTAGGCTGACGCCACGGCACTCACTCTAGCCTGGGCAACAAAGTGAGACTCTGTCTCAAAAAAAAAAAAAAAAAAAAAAAAAAAGAAGGCCTGAGTGGGTACTTGGCAGATCCCTAGGCTATATGCCCATGAACATAAATGAGGATAACAATGCACTCCTTGAGTTCCCCCTAAGGGTTGTGACAAAGACATAGAAAAGTGCTTTGCAAGCTTTCAATGATGATACAAGTGTTGTTATTGTCTTCAAAGAGAAACATGGCTAATGTGGGTAATTGAAATTTGGCACATCATCTCATACCTTACTTTAGACAATCATTTCGACCTCTACCCCATTCATCTCTCTCCTAGACAAGGACAAAATATTGTTTGTATTGCTGCCCTTGCATTCTCTACTAAGTGATGTCAGATGATGAAGAGAATCCTTGTCTCTGCAGCTAATTCACAAATTGAATATGAAGCATTGAGTAATGGGGAAAAGTCCATATTGCTTTAATTATAATTCTCTGAGTTTCATCTTAAGGTAGAAGACTGAAAAATGCTAGCCGAAGACTTTTTCAAGACTACATATTAATTAGTGTATCCAAAATTACTCATCCTCAATTGTATATAAACTACTACTGTTAATTTCAAATAGTAGTTAGTAAAGAAATAGGAAAATAGTAGATAATAAGGAAAAAGTAGAGCTATGATTCACAAACTAGTGTCTTGGTCCAGATCTGGTGGTAGCAATCAGAATTTGCAACTTTGCTTTCAGAAGTTCCCCAAATCATATTTTTTTCATTTAGTTTTTTTTTTAGTGCAGAGTAACTGAAATGTTCATCCTTTTCCTTTGGATAGAATTTATGATATTAGTTTGATAATACATATTATCTCATGCTTGGTTGATATTCTTTTTGGCAATCATCTATCTTTTCTAATAAATAAAAATGAGTTATTTATAATGTACAATTTTTGATATGTAGATATTATAAAGCATGGGGATAAAGAGAGATTGAGATCTTCAAAAGGGATTCTTGATAGTTAAAATGTTGAGAAAATGATGGAGTGAAGAGTGAATACTGATCACATGTCCCTTTTAATGAACAATGGAAAAACAAGGCAGTCTTCCAAATACTTTGTTCTATTTCTACTTCAACCCATTACTTGGCTTAAATGTCTTTTAACTATGACCTTCTAGAATTTCCTGTACAATATTCCACTGTTTAAAATATAGTTGGCTGACTGATTTCTTTAACATTTCAGAATGTCCTGTATCATTTTAATGACTGGGGAGTGTGACTTTGTTCTCAGCATGGTAAGTAAACAAAGCCAAAGCACTGGGGAATAATTTTACATGTTCAAGAAAAACCTCAGACAGGGCAGAATGCTTTTGTGATACAGTACATTAAAATAAGACAAAGCCTGGGAGGTCAGAATCACCATCCTGAAAGATCTCAAACCTGAAATCAGAATATACTACGTAAGGAGATGATCATGTTTTAAAGCATTTGTTGAAGCAGGCTGCCCTCGTTTGTGATGGGATAATCCTACATAGTTCTCCTATGCTTTCTGACATCCCTGGCTCATCAATAGATGTCCCCTGACCCTTCTTTGGTGGTTTCTATCACCTTCCCTAAACTTTACTACGATCTTTCTTGTCATATATTTTGTCTTAGTGTAGAATAAGTCATTATAAGGAAGCATTTTTCACCCTCTGGGAAAAGATGTTCCCATGTAAGGGTCAGGATATGTTTTCCCTTTCATTCAAAGATTCTAAAATAATCAGCCACTCATCTTCACTTTTCCCAACAAGTTTCTTAAAATCAGCTCATTTCCTTTAAAGGAGGGGATATCACATATCACATTCTCTTTTGGGGGACGTGATGCCAGAAAAATAACTCCATGTGATTTTTTTAAAATGTAAACTTTCTTATGAAGTATAACATACACACCAACATTAAGGGTACAGCTTGACAAAACTTTATGCAGTAATGCACTCATGGAACCACAGCTAGAATAAGAAATAGGATTTTGCCAGCACCTCAGAACCTTCTGTACGGCAACTCCCAGTCACTAACTAGGATAACTAACTGGTATTCTGATTTTATCACCATAGATTGATTTTGCCTCTTTTTCAAGCTTACATAAATGGAGTGGGACAGTACATTCTCTTTTGTACCTGGCTCAATATTCTGTTTGTTGAGTCTGCTGAAGCAGTAATTTGTTCGCTTTTATTGCTGACTCATACTCTGTGCTATGAAAAATGCAACAATTTATTTTTCCATTCTACCACTGATGGGGCTTTAGATTGTTTCTAATGTTTGACTATAATGGAAAAATGCTATAATAAAAATTGTTGTGCATGTCTTTTGAGAGCACATGTACATATTTCTGTGGGTATATATCTAAAAGTGTAATTTCTGGGTCATAAACAATGGTATATTCAAGTAGCCTTGTGCTGGCTCATGATTGCCCACTGTTTTTGCAACCCAGTTGTTAAATATATCCATTATTAAAAATTAAGTTATAGAAACACAATAAAATAAATGAGTTTTAAATAATAGTAATAAATACTCAAAGCTCACTATTTCCTAATTATTTTACTCATTTTACATCATCTGTGTTCTTGAAGTTATTTGTATTTATTATACTTGTATGGTAGAAATATTATATAATGGTGTGCCATTATGCATCTTTTCTCAACTATGCATTCAAGAACATCATGTTGATAGCATGACATTGTTGTGGTGGTATTATTTACACCATGAGAATTAGCAATCACTAAACAGATCACGGTTTATTGTTTTGTTGATTATTGAGACTTAAGAAATCAGAGAGAAAATATTAACAATGCAAATTAAATGCAAAGTGTATTGTATCTGTAGCAATTACATTGTAATTCCTTTAATCATGCCTATGTGAATTACAATGATTGCTTTCTCAAAGGAAAACAACTCAATGTCTCTTTCAGTTAATATGTCTAGCTTTAATTCTAGTGTCTGTGGATATTAAGTCTTATCAGGTCCAGATATAGCTTCTTATAATCCAGCATCCTGAACAGATGTTGGATTATAGCCTTGTGTGAACAAAACACCAGGTACAATCCAGCATTTCTCTAACCCTTTGTCTCTTTCTTATATATACATACAATGGTTATTGGGAAGTATTTGGACAGTGTGTGGTAAATTAGGCTTGTCTTTGATGAATAAAAATAAAATCTTAAGTCCTCCAACCAACTGAACAAAGGATACCCAGAGAAACCTTAAAACTGAAATCCTGGCCATGAGCGGATGGGAGGTCAGACACACCTCGTTATATCCCCTTCCTCACTAACCACCAATAGGATTTCTTGCCTAAGTGTTACTATCCTTTAGAAAAGACTTGCTCCACCACTGATTTCAATTAACCTTCTAATGCTGCTCCTCCCTTTTGGCCATTTCAGAACTACACCTAACATTCCTTCCTAATAAGAGGCTGTTGACTATGGAATAGTTCTGGCCAATTTACAGAGAATGCATAGTGAGGGTTTTCATGTATTCTGCTTCACTTTTTGACAACAGAGGGCCCAAAATTCCACCCTCAGATCATGCTAACACCACTCTTTTCTGTACATGAATCTCTTGAAGTAGTATGAGGCTCAATTGTGCATGCACATGTATCTCCTTTCATAAATATTTCATAAATATCCATGATTCTCCCTATAGCTTGTTAAATATGTATATTTGGCCACTCTGCTGAGCATACATTGCTATTCCTGTTCCCTCCCTTGAAGTACCTGCTTCTGGTTTCTGGCCTGAGGCTATGCTTTCCAGCCTGTAAGAATGGCCACCATGCAAACTGCAACCCATGGTGAGAAATAAAGCTCTCCTTTCCAAATTTATGAACCTCATCATTCTTCAGTTGACATCTTTTACCCCAGTTTTATCTCCCCTAAGTCTCCAGCATCCCCATCTGCTTTCAGATGTTCATCTTTGTAGTTGGATTCTTTGAAATTTTAGTGTCCTGGCATTTTTAATGGCTGTAAAATTGGACTCGGCCCTTGGTCATTTACTCATGTTAATTGCTTGCTGCCTGCCCAGCACCCCTTGTTCTCATAGGAGTTATTAACTGCAGATACCTTACTTCTTTGTCAAGCAAGAGGAATAATTCCAGGGTCACAAGGAGAATATATGAGTTTGTTTGTAGAAGGAATGAATTCCCCTGAAGAAGTAGTGACTAGCTGATGCTCAGAAGTCTGGTTGCTCAAAGTGTTATCTGATACTAAAAGCAACACAGACTTCTCCCTACTTTATCCCCCACCCGTGTAAAAGATTTCTATCTCATCTCTGTGACAAGACAGATCTGAGAAACTGCTCTCATGTCTTCACTTCTCTCTTTCTCTCACCCTGGGGCTCACATCACTCAGGACAGACTCCTGGTGGGCAACCAGCCCCAGGCAGTCCTCTCCAGATGATGAAGGGTTTGAGTCAGGAACTGGTGAGAAAGGAGTGAAGCCCAGAAAGCAGTGGGGAGCTGTCAGAGCTGAGATGAGAGACAGTTACCCTCAGGCATGTCTCAGGATCACAGATCACCTTGTCTTTCAGCTTAACAAAAAAATTGTAAAGAAGGTTTGATGTCAGGGGAATCTATGTTAAATAAGAGCTCAGACAGGGCTCATGACCGCCATATCAAACAAAAGATCATATAAACAATTTTTTAAAAAATCAACTGTTTGGAAATTATTAGAATGGATTTAATGAGTTTATACCACCACTGAATCACTTGGGAAGTAGGTTTATAAAATTTTTTAGTTTTTGTAGAGACTATAAAGAAATAAGTTATTAGAATTTTAAATGTATATATTAATGTATATATTAATTTATATTACTTGGCTGGTTATTAAATATTTTTAATACCATCCTTAGCCAGAGTCTAAGTTACCAAAGAAAACATTTCCCTGACTCTTTCCAAGGCATGAACATTCAATGATTGATGAAAGTTTCATTATTGCTGCTTAATTTATGCTTCTGTCTAAGATATTTTATGATTTCAACCAATGAAAGATATGAATGCAGAGCAGAAATAACAAAAGTATTTTTCTCTATCCCATAATAGATCCTTCCAATCTTGAGAGCCAATGTTTCCCTTATTTTAACCAGCACCACAGGAAACCTGAAAAATAGAGCCTGCAAGAGGCATCTTGAGGCCTCCAAGAAACTGGAAATATTGTACTAACCAGGCCTCAAGAGAACTGAGCAGATTGGATGTGCTGAACCTGCACTTTTGAGCAACACGTGTAAGTGAGGTCATACTTTGATCTCATACTTGCAACTCTTCTCAGGACTTGGTGTCTTAGTCTGCTATAGACAAATACCAGAGACTGGGTAATTTATAAAGAAAAGAGATTTATTTTCTCTCAGTTCTAGAAGCTGTGAAGTCCAAGGTCAAGGAAGTGGTGGGTTCTTTGTCTGACGAGGGTCTGATCTCTCCTCCCAAGATGGCACCTTGATGCTGCATCCTCTGGAGGGGAGGAGCACTATGTCCTCCCATGGAAAAAGGGACACAAGTGCAAAAAGGGACCAAACTCCATCCCTCAAGCACTTTTATAATGGCATTGACCTATTCATGAAGGTGGAGCCCTTATGACCTAAGTACCTCCCTAAAGGCCCCACCTCCCAGCACTATTGCATTGGGGATTAAATTTCTAACACATGACTTTTGGGGGACACATTCATACCATTGTACTTGGTAAGAGAGAGGAAAAGAAGAAAGGGGAAAAAGGCAAAGAAGAGGTGTTCAGGACCTGCCTGAAAGTAGCATACTTCCCCATCCCCATTTACTGTGTATCTTTCCTCACCATCTTCTTTTTCCAAATCATAGAGTGATAAGGAGCAGGTACAGGAAAATTTGGCAAATGGGAAGGGTTGTTTTAATATCTGTGATGGCCTGAGCAGTACAGTGAGGTGGTTGAAATAGATAATATCTGCAGTTCCAATCAGTTTGGATGATTGACTCAGCGTGGGGTCTTTGTGACACCTACTGGAACGGTGCTTATGACATTTTTAGGTACATAGGTCATTGATGAGACAAGATGAGAATATTGGCTTAATTTTACATATGCAGAAAGTGAACCCTAAAGGGATAAAGTGACCCTCTTAAGGGCATAGGTGAGTTAGTAGTAGAAGAGTTAATGAAGTCTAGAAACCTAAATTCCCAACTCCCGGGCAAGTCCTCTTCTCACTCTACCACTTCTGGTGGCTATTTTTATTTTAGTGATACTGTGACTGGTGGTACTAGACTACACTAGGTACATACTACGGTGAAGTTGGTAGTCTCACCTATTCTGTTGCTTATTGTGGTAACTGCAGTGCCACCAATGGACCTTAACACTTTGACCCATAATTAATTTTGGATTATAAAGGACATAAAATTCCACTCACACTAGTTTGGGATGAGGCTAGGGTGAAGAAGGCAAACTTACTGGGTGGGGTAAAGATGCCCTCAGGCATGATTAGGACAGAGAACTCAAATGTCATCCAGTTTTCTTTCCACTTGCTCCCTTTGCTTCTATCTGTGTTTTGGTTTGTTTCTCTTCCACTTCTCTGCTTTCCCCAAGCTGCAGCAGACACAGTGGGGACAGCACCCAGGCTCACTTCTTTTTTATTCTTTTCTTTCTTTCTTTTCTTTTCTTTTTTTGACACAGAGTCTCACTTTGTTGCCCAGGCTACAGTGAGTGCCATGGCGTCAGCCTAGCTCACAGCAACCTCAATCTCCTGGGCTCAAGTGATCCTCCTGCCTCAGCCTCCCAAGTAGCTGGGACTACAGGCATGCGCCACCATGCCTGGCTAATTTTTTCTCTATATATTAGTTGGCCAATTAATTTCTTTCTATTTATAGTAGAAATGGGGACTCACTTTTGCTCAGGCTGGTTTTGAACTCCTGACCTTGAGCAATCCGCCCACCTCAGCCTCCCAGAGTGCTAGGATTACAGGCATGAGCCACCGTGCCCGGCCCAGGCTCACTTCTTTATTGCTCAATAGCTCAGAAAGGAAAAGGACCCTCTTTCATGCTCTTTTCTAAAAGAAATCTTTCAGGGAAAAATCTGATTGTCATGACCTTGGACACAAGGCCACCTCCCCACAAAGATCACAGCAACTGGGAAGATATGAGGACTAGTTCCCTAAAATAGAGGTGAATTCCATAGTCAAGGCCCCTGGTGATATGAGAAGCCAAGAAGCCACGCCAGTTTTTATCAAGAGGATGGCCTTGATGGCAGAGTGTTTATTATTTGAGTTACAAGGCTGTATAGAGAAGCAAAAGTCAACTGAGCAAAAGTGCTCACAAATGAACTGTCTGTCCACTCAGGTTAATTGTCTCTAATTCCCTTTTCTGATGTCACAAATAACTGTCAACCCAATGTATCATAATGGAAATCTATTGCAAAGTGAAATCACCAATTGTGCAAAAGTTGCCTTGATAAAAAGAGATCTTGGGAGACTACTCAACTCATTCACAAATGCACTAATAACGAGGACCTGCCAGAGTAAGATAAATTCACAACTGAGAAAGCCAGTGATGGTATGATGTGATTTCAGCACCAGAGGATTAAGAATGGTCCACAAAAAACTGGTGAAATCCTAAAATTTTTAAGCACATAATCGTCTTTACAATCACACTGCACAAATGAATCACATAAATAATCAGGCCCTCCTACATTTTTGTTAGAAAAACAATGTGCCAAACAAGTCTAATAAAGATTTCCTTTATCATTTGTTCATTTCAAATAATTAACCCATAGATGCAATGAAAACCCAAATTTTATTAAATAGAAAGTAAAATAAGCTTTTATTTACTATCCTCTGGTTGTTTTTCGAGATTAAATTTTAGGTAAAATCTTTTTCAAACAACTATTTACTATGAAGTTTCTGTCTTCCTGTAAGGTGATTCCCTGTAATTAATGTTTTCCTGTTAGCTGTATTCCAAACTAGCATAGTCACTGTTTCTCAGAGCTTCTCTTACTAGGCTAAATTATTTGAAAATGTGGTTTAGGGCATTTTTAACCATTTATTTCTCTCTTCCTCTAAGTAATTTTGTCATGTCAGCTTATCCTACAATGGCTTCTTGGAGAGTTCCAGCTGACACAAAATCTTTGTACGTATCTAGTCAGATGAATTCAATTTCATTAATTTCAATGCAATTTGATTATGATACGTTGCATTACTTCCAAGTGGATATATTCCTTGTGTTTGAGCACCTTGTTTTTGGTGATACATTTTTAACTGGTTGTATGAACTCTGGGAAAGTCATGTAACCAATCTGAGGCCGAATGGCAAGACTAAAAATTCAAGATGGTTGCTTCGAATTTAATGATGCAGTGACATGATCCCTGGCACACAGTAGACAATTAGTGCTCATTGATGTTCACTTTGTTTTCCTGATTACTGATAAGGATGGTGCTTGCATGGCAACAATAAAACTGTTCAAGGAGCTTTGGCAGACTCGAGTCTCATAGCCACAAATGCTATTAAATACAAGAAAAAAAAATTGGAAGCTCTCCAGATAACTGACAACACAATGCAACATAATGCAAAGTAATTTCCAAGTGAAATCACAAATCATGCAAAACATGTCCCGACAAAGGTGATCTTGGGGGAACTGCTCAAACAATACACAAATCTATTGATAACACTTGTCACCATTTGCTAGGCCAGAATAAAATATGCTACCATTATGTCTCTGATGGAAGGATCATGTGAGTCAAATTACAATAGTGTACGCCAATAGGGCTCTGAAAACCATGTGGTCACACTGCCCCAGCAGTTACTCCAACTTCTAGCAGACCCCAGCCTATCATAAGTTTTATCTCCATAAATCAATTTTCCCAGGATTTCATAGTGTCTGGATTAATCATACTCACAGTTTTGAGCTGAGAGAACAAATAGATTATAAAGAGCTAAAAGCAACCATGATTCTTTTAAGACCAGCAAACTTGATAACAATACTATTCATGCTCTTTTATAAATCGTTTTTTTTTATTGAGACAAAATTCACCTATTTTAAGTGTTTCAAAGTGCACAGTTCAATGGTTTTAGTATATTCACAATGTTATGTAACCATCATCACTGTCTAATTCTAGAATATTTCTATCACCCCCCAAAAGAAATCTCTCTTTCAAAGTGAACACACTTCTGGAGAAGCAACACAGAAAGTCCAACACTAATATTTATACATTTTCAGATTTTTTTTATTGCAAAGGAAAATAAAAAACTAATGTACTAGGGAAAAGAGGTCACTTGAAACAGGGAAACAGGGAGAGAGAAATATTGAAGCAAGTATGAATAGTCATTATTTGGGATAGTGGTGGTAGCCTGTCTCCAAGGTGGCTTCCAAAGATTTCAGCCTCATGTTTGTCACACTCTGTGTAATCCCCTTCCAGATGATATTAGGATTGGTCTGTGTGACCAGTAGAATCCTGAGGAGTGATGCTATGGCACTTCTGAGGCTCAGTTATAAAAGACATTGTGGTTCTGCTTTGCTTTTTCCCTCAGACGCCTCTTTTTGTGGGAAGCCAGCTACCATGTCATGAAGACACTCAAACAGCCAGTAGATACCTGGTTGTATTATGGGAATTAAAAAAAAAATTTTAACCAATCTAAATAGTGCTTCATGTAGCAGGGAACTGAGGCCTTCTGCCAACTATCAGCAAGGAACTAATGCTTCCTTCCAGCAGCCACATGAGTGCGCCATCTTCAAGGCAGATCCTGTAGCCCCCAAGTCAAGCCTTCAGATGAGATGCAGCCTGAACAGCCTCCTGAGAGACTTTGAGCCAGAGCCCGGCTAAACTGCTCCCGAATTCCTGAAACTATGTGGAGTAAGAAACATCTGTGGTTTTATACTGCTAAGTTTTAAGGTAATTTGTTACAGAGTAATAGATAACTTATGCAGTGGTATTAGGGTAATAATTCAGCAAAGTTGGGAACATGAGAAAAGAAAGTATCTCTGTCATATGGGGCAAACCACTGAGGTTCATAGATATAGAATCAATGTACAAACCTTTTAATTGGCACTAACCTTGAGCAGAGCAGACTGAAACTTCCTTTGTATAGTCTTCCTTTGTATAGTACCCTGCCATCAGGGTACTCTGTTGTAACTTCTTTTTATAATCAAGACAGTCCTTGTTCAAATTAAGCCTATATCACACAGAAATCAGTAGAGAGGCCTGCAGTGTGATTTTCATTGGGCCCCATTCATGGCCAGACATGGAGTACTTTGATCCCCTGAATCTTCACAGGGATAGGCTGGGAGAAGGCTGACATAAGTACTTTACAGAAGGGCATTCCAATTTTTCTGTTTGCTTTTATTGCATTTTACTGAAAGACATAAAATAAACAAATCAAAATTTAAATTAAGTGTAAATAAAATGGCAAATCAATCTCAAATAAGAAGAGGGTCATGGAAGAGAGAGTTTAAAAATGTTAAATCAGTTATCAATATATCACCATCCCCTATCCTTTTGGAAAGGGACTGGTTTCTCCTTTCCTGCTGAACATATACTCAAACTCTCTCCTCTTTGAGTTACTTTAACCACTCTGCAATGTTTTCACTTGGCATCAAAATATGTTTATATAATTCAAACCTCCAGTCTGTTCGGATCTTGTTAAAACTTGTTATGCTTTGCTAAACTCCTAGGAAAGGAAGTGCATTTTCAGCATGTGGGCCATAGACTTCAGCTATGTTTGACTAGATGTTTGCCAGATACCATCAATTTCTGTCACCTAGTCAAGAAGTTACTGGAGGTAGGGTAAATTTTTTGAAGGAATGTGGACCAAAAATGTGTTTAATGATTCCGAGCACTAGTTTTCTTGGATTTCAGTGGCTCTTAGATGGCAACTATGGGAATAAGCCAAGGCTGTCCAGTTATTAATATCAACAGTCAGGAGCCAGGGGAGCTCATCTCGTGTTTCAGCAAATGAAAACAGCACAGATGCATTTTGTTAATAGAGCATGAAGGGCAGACCTGGTATCCATGGGTCCACTGGTTTTTAGAATAGGCCAAAAAATAACCAGGATGCTTCTGTGGGGCTCTTAGAATCAGACAAAGTATGCAGACAAAGTGATGTTGTCTTCTAGACTGCCACCGTCCTGCTTTCTCCTCCTCTTCTGTGTCTATTAATCTCTTAAGCTTAAACTGTCCTTGGTTGGTCAGCCTGCTTATTAATTTTTTTAAAAAAAAATTGATGAGATTTTGAATTATTTCAATTATAAAATCCAGAAATAATGTAAGAAATATCTGTTTATGTAGCATCAAAATTGAACAAATGTAAAAATTTGGATTCTGGGTTTTTTTTTTTTTTTTTGGACAGAAAAAATATTTTAGACACAGTCAAGGCTGTAGCCTTGTTGTGGACATGCCCTAGGGCTACACCCAACTACCCACACCTTTATGTAGTCCTCTCCCCTTTAGTCACATTACCCTGTGACTTGCTTCTAATCAATAGACTGCGGCAAAGAGGATGAGCTGTCACTCCTTTGACTAGGATATATTATATGGGAAAGGTTAAGAGATTTTTTTAGATGTCATTAAAGTCTTTAACAATTGGAGTTTAAGTTTGCCATATGGGGGGTTATCCTGGTTGGGCCTCATCTTACCAGGGAGGCTTTTAAAAGAGAAGATCAGAGACTTACCACTACAGAGAATCTCTTTCTTTATTGCTGGTTTTGAAAAAGCAAGCTGCCATGAGTTCTATGGCTGGAGGGAAATGAATTCTGCCAACAACATGAGGGAGTTTAGAAGCAGATTCTTCCCTGGTCAAGCCTTCAAAAGAGAACAGAGTCTGGTCGACAGTTTGATTTCAGCTTGACAGATCCTGGATCAGAGAACCCATCTAAGCCATGCCCAGATTTCCATGTCCAGATGCCTACATATAGAAACTGGCAAATAATAAATGGGTGTTGTTATGATTTATTAAGTATGTAGTAATTTGTTATTCAGAGATGGAAAACTAATATAAACTGTAATCTCATCCCTCTGTATTAACCAGAGGTCAATATGAGATAATGCTTAGCCTTACCAAAATAAAATAAAATAAAATACAATTAAAACAATGAGATCCCATTTCACACCCATCACATTGACCAATGTTAAAATGCCTGATAATCCCAAACATTGGAGTAATAAAAAGTTTCATATACTAAAAGTAGGAATGAAATTGGTCACAGAGAAATTTTAAAATGCCAATGTCACCTAGCAATTTCACGGCTAACATGTTTTTATACTATTACTACATATATTCTACATAAGTTTTAATATATATTAGCCATAAACAATATTTGATATTTTTGTGTATTTTAAAATTTACATAAATAGCACACTTTTGCAGCCTGATTTTAAAAAAATAGCAGAAATTTATTTCTCATAGTTCTAGAGGCTGGGAAGTCCAAGATCAAGGCATCAGCGGATTAGGTTTCTGGAGATGGCCCACTTTCCAGATGGCACATTCTAGCTGTGTCCTCACATTATGTTATCAAGATTTATCTATTCTTGATACACTCAGATTATTCTTTTAGCTCAGTAAAATATTCCATTAAATTACAATACCACAACTTACCCATTCTCTAAACTATACTGGCGTGAAGGCACTTGTACTCATCTTGGGGACAGTCTCTTTTATATACTTAGAAGTGACATTGCTTGGTCACATAGGCATTATACAATTTCTCTCCAAAATAGCTGTACAAATTTTTATTCCCACATCTAGTATATGAAATTTCCCATTACTCTAATTTTATGGGTATGGTATTACTTAATTTGGTATTACTCAAATTGGTATTACTCAATTTGATGGGTATGAAATGGTTATCTCATTGTTTAAGTTTGTACTCCCCTTAATTCTAGTAAGGCTGAGCATCATTTCATATATTTAGGTCATTTTGGTCCCTTTTTTGCTGAATTTCCTGTTCATCTCTTTTGCCTACTTTCCTACAGGTTAGTTATTAATTTTCTTACTGACTTGTGGATTATACCGCCTAACTCACAGATAAATGAGATAATACGCATGAAAGTTCCTGCTCCAGTGCCAGGTGCAGTTTAGGTGTTTGGTAAATGTGAGTTTCCTCCATCTTCATTTTCAAGTACTTTAGGATTTAATAATTGGACAGTGGCTAAGACAATATGCTCTGGAGTTGGACTGAGGTCTTATTGAGTCCTAGCACATGCTGGCTGTGTGACTGTGGACTACTAAGCTCTCTAAGCCTCTGTTTGTGCACTTGTAAAAATAAGGGTCATATTACTTGCTTGATAGAACTATTGTGAGGAATAAAGCACCATCTAGCTAGTGCCTGCCTCCCAGTGAGTTCTCAAAACAATGGTAGATGTTATTGTTATCACTGTTATTAGAGGAAATAGAGTTACAGACAAATAACAAATATGAACTATTAATAGAATCAGATAGTCCTTCTATAGGAGACATACTAGCTAAATGCTATCAGAATAGAAAAGTAAAGTAGAGATTATGTCTAACCAAGGATTGATGGAGGTTCAGGGAAGGTTTCACAAAATAAATGTTCTTTAAATTCAGTTGGGAGGAAGGGTGAATGAGATATAAAAAGTTAGAACTGGAGGAAGAGGATATTTTTGCAAATGAAACAAAAAATATGTAGGGATATTAAGTAAACAAACAAGAAAACAAACAAAAAAACAGCTAGTATTCTAGCTGTGCAAAAGTGTGGTATAATGTGAGATGGAGCTGTTATAGACAAGCTGAAAAGGAATGTTAAGACTGGATCATGGAAACTCTTGAATGGTTTTGGACTTTGAAATCAGACAGCAATAAAAGAGCATTTAATCTTTGAAGACATCAAAGTACATTTTGCACTAAATGGTATCCCATGCCCTAAAAAGGATCCTCTGTAACTATGAAGTGCTTTTGGCTTTGGAATAACATTTGCCACACAGAGGTCAGTGATTGAGTTGCCCAGAGGTGGTATTAGGGAGGACTGGGGGACCCTGTATGTGACTGATATGAAGGAACCCAGCATGTGTTTCAGGACAGACACCAGGGTCTAGGTCACAGACACTATGGGATCCAGCTTCAAGCTGCTTAATTACCACCATTCTAGGGATCAAAAAGCTATGTTTTTTTTCCCCTTTAAGATAGAATGATATATGACCCAAAATATGACCCAAACAACAGAGTACACAGAGTCCTCTCATGGCCATTTATTATAGGTCCAGATAACAACTTCAGTCACATTTTTAAAACCTTTTAGATGAAATACATTTCCTTCAAAAAGTTTTGTTTTGGACAGAACATGCATCACTTATTTTCCACGTAAATCACAGATACTCTTCTTTTTAACATAGAATTTAGTTGTGCCAAAATATATTGGATTTATACTTATCTTTACATCTTGTGTTTTTGATCTAGATTTTTTTCTATTTGCTATCCCATGATCATTAACTTCAAAAGATGTTTTGGTCCTACATTATTATCATTTTCTTATTAACTGAACATTCCAAACCCTATTTGTTTACTCATAGGAGAACTGAAGTTCAAAACATAACTAGATAAGACAGAAAAACTCTATGCATTCAAATTATGAACCTGAAGCTAGAATTATTAATGTTTTCTAAGCATATTCTATGCTTCAGCATGGTGAAATGCTTTTTCTCAAACAGAAAATGGCAAGAAATTCTGTTAGCAAAACCAGAAATGAATCATGCCACAAGAGATTTCTATCTCCTGACCTCCATCCTGCCTCATTTATTAAAAAAATAAAATAAAGATATTTCTGAATGAAAAATGGATAATTTTCAATTATAAAGTTACCATATTGCTTGGTAAATTCTTGGTCCAAAATGATTCTATTGGTGTTGACTTCCCAAATGGCCCAGTCAGAGCTGAAATGATCTTTGTGGGATGAGTAAATAGCAGGTATGTTCACCATTGTTTATTTTTGAGAACCATGTCTTAAGCATTTCAGTCTTTCTTTTTGTCCTAATCTAATTGATAGAAAGCATGAGAAGCTTTTTGAAACAAGGTTATTATAATAAAAGTTTTTCTTCATCTGGGACTTTAGAACAAAATGGATGACTAATCAGAACACACCTTCCTAGTTTAAGCCAGAAAATAAAGAAAAAAAAAATGAATGAGACTTGAGAGTTGGTAGCTAGTTTTTTAAAAAGACTTAACTTTTTGGAGAAATTTTAGGTTCACAGCAAAATGGACAGAAACGTACAGAGATTTCCTATAGACTCCCAGCCCCAACACATGTATAACCTCAACATTCACCAGCAGAGTGGTACAGTTGTTACAACTGATGAACCTACATTGACAAAACATTATCATCCAAAGTCCATAGTTGACAGTATGGTTCCCTCTTGGTGGTGTACAGTCTATGGATTTTGACATGTTTCCACTATTATAGTATCATACATAATAGTTTTACTGCTTTAACAATGTGCTCAGCCTAGTCACTTTCTTTACTCTCCCCTAATCCCTGGCAACCGTTGATGATTTTGCTATCTCAATTATTTTGCCTTTTCCAGAATCTCATATAGTTGGAATCATAGTATATAGCCTTTTCAGGCTAGCTGCTTTCACTTAGCAGTATTCATTTAGGTTTCCTCCATCACTTTCCATGGCTTGATAACTCATTTCTTTTTAGCACTGAATTGTATTGCATTGTCTAGATGTACCACGATTATTTATCCATTCACCCACTGAAGGACATCTAGATTGCTTCCACATTTTGGCAATTATGAATAAAGCTGCTCTTTGTGTGTAGGATTTGTGTGGACACAAGTTTCCAACCCTTTAGGGTAAATATCAAAGAGCCTGATTGCTGGATCATATGATAAGAGTATGTTTAGTTTTGTAAGAAACTGTCAAACTGTCTTCCAAAGTGTCTGTACCCACCACACTAAATGAGAGTTCCTGTTGCTCCACATCCTCATCAGCATTTGATGTTGTCAGTGTTCTGGATTTTGATCATTCTAATAGGTGTGTAAGTTTTTAATTCTTCCTCTCCAAAGACTTTTTTAGCTGTTTTTTATTTAAAAGTTGTTATCCCTGTTTTACAAAAAAGAAAAAGAAAAAAAAAATGGGTCTTTGAGAAGTTACTTGACTTCTAATAGTACAGATGTGATAGTGATTCTAATGAAAGAAACATCTTGTGACTATCATCTATAATTGTTGTCCTCAAATCATGATTCACAAATGACACTTGAAATGCTATTTTTCATCAAGAGAACTTTTATATTCATTAAGGAATTAAGTGAGGCAATTTTGTATATTTCTATCAATTTGCTATAATTTTCCCCAAGTAACTGCTCCAGATGGCATGTTAGAGACCAGAACACAGGGTATTAAATGTTTTTAGGATATAATGCCATCTCTAATAATACTTTCTTCTAGATAACATAGCCAACCTTTTTCTTCTTAATGCCATCTAATTAACCAAGATGAGAGCTGTCAAATGGAAAATTCCCATGTTCCCTTCTGAATTACGGACCTTTTTTAATATAGATTTTGGCACCTGCACAGCTTGGGCAGAAACACAGCTCACACTAGTGAGCAATTTGGCCTTGTTGGTAAATAAAATATACATACACTTCTAATCAGTTGTATTTAAAATTAAACACAAATTACATTCCAAGCATTTTTAAAGGCATCGTTGTTGGCAGGGTAGCTACGCCAGCTGAATCATTGATATTTTATGACACAGTTCCAGGTGGTACACTTTCCTCTCCTGTTTTGCCTTGTGTTTTATTTTCCTCCTTTAATCCATGTCTTAAAAATTCACTTGGGCACAGGACTATTTTTAAAAAGAATCTCTACTCAGACATGGTATATAGACTTGTTCCTATTGTTATCTCCTGGGACACATGGAAGTGAAATGGCTGATACTGTAGTCCCATCAAGGCCAGAGTTGCAGAAATTCTTCTTAAATTAGCATATGCAAAACTTCCTGAATTCTTTCTCTCATTTTCATGAAACTTTATACTTTTAACGTCATGTCCTTAAAAAATGGAAGAGAGGCTTATTTATTGGGTATGATCAACAAAGAAGGAAATGGAACCCACTGGGTTTCTCCTCGTCTCCCATCTTTGGCCATGAGTGGCACACTCACTCTTGGCAAAGGGAGTCAGGGACAGATGGGATGTTAATAACCACTCTTGGAACATGACTTGGCTGCTTTTGGGTCCTGTTTTCAGTTTCTTGGCTGCTTATTTTGGTGGAAGTCAGTGGGATTAAGTTGGGTCTAAGAGTGTCATGTGAACAAACAAGGTGTGCATTACAGTGCCTTTAGTCTTCACAGACTTTAAGATCTGTAGACCTTCTCTGTCTTCCACTCTGTGGGGAAGAAAACAAAACAATTAAATCTCTAATGTGGTTTAAATTTATTCCAAGCTAAAAAAAACAAATATAACAATACCTTTTAGATTAAAAAATGTTCTGTCTCTCAGATCTCCCTGTCTCCCTGCCTTCTCCCTGAGAGAGTATAGTTAGTATAGAAGGTGGTAAGGGGTGGCCATACAACCTCTTGGGTGTGAGGGGGAGGGTGGGGCTACTCTGGTCTTGTGTTGGATTGGGAGTGTGATCTAGCAACATCTGCTGGCCACTTGATCAACTGCTTCCAAACCTGCCGTTTGGGGCTAATGAACTCAGGGATCATTTTCTGGGCAATGTTTCTGGGCATCGCCAGTCAACTCTCACCACCTGGCGACTCCTGAATTGGTCTTACCTTCTACACAGTCACCTGGCCAGATAGTGCACCCTTAGCCTCCGCTGTGGGTCACTTGGCCTTATCCTAGCAGCCCTTTGGTGACCCCACTGGCCCTTGACCCACTGTCCTTATGTCATGGAAATGAAGCTAAACTTCAAGACATTTCTCTGCCTGACCATGATGGACTGTTTGCCGTTTGGTATGTGGCTGTTTACGAGGTATCCTCCTCCCTGGGACCTAAACAAATAAGACAAGAATCCATGAACTCAACTTATAAAATGCATGTATAGGGAAACATCCAGGTGTATCCATCTGGTTATCTCATTCTCTCTCTCTCATTCCCCCTTTTTTTGCATTATTGTCTCAGGACTGGAAAAAGGGCAGGTTTCTTCCCTCCTCTTTCTGCTCTGTTGATCCCTTACATAAAACCCTATAGTGTAAACTCACCATTCTAAAGAAAAAGATAAATGAATTTAGCTAATACTCTTTTGAGGGCAAAATCCTTGCCTAAAAACGCTTTTGTTTTGCTCCATTTAAAGTACACTTCTAATGTTTTTTAAAGTTCTAAATGTTTTGTTTCATTTAAACTAAATCAGAGTTTAAATGATAGAAACTGAATATTAGCTGTCATTTTTGTCATTGTTGTTGTTGTTGTTAATTTTGTTTTGTGTCCCTTTTATAGAAATCTTAATCACCTGCCCCCAGGCAGATGGGTGCCTGGAGTGTATTAGCGTCAAAACCATGGATTTGGGAAGTCAGAAGTTAAAAAACAAAAAAAAGGGCATACATAATTGTCAAATTATTTACCCCATTGGAATTATGCTCTCCCAAACCCTCATAGGAATTGAGCAAAATAAGTATAACTTTTGATGCTAGTCTATAGGTGAGAAAACTAAGCTTTGCTTAAACAGATTTCAAACTGTATCTGACTGGCTCCAAAACCTACCTCCTTTCCTGCATACAATGCTGCCTCTGGTGAAAAGCTAGAAGTTTAGGGAGATCAAGAACCAAGAGTGGAGGCCAGAAAGGACGTCAGTAGCATCATCCACACCATTTAAATTGCCTACAGATCCTCGAAGGTCAGAGAACAGAGAAAAAGGCTGCTCCCATCATCCCCGTGCCAGGGTACTCTGAATCTTTCAAGTAAATACTGGGCTGAGAGGCTGCTCAGGAAATTGCCATTCAGTGTGAAGAGAAGATCCGGTACATCTGATTGCTTGTTTAATAATAAAAACAGAATCAGCAGATGACTTCGTTAAAATGAAGAAGGCTCTGAGGCACATTCTCTGAATTCTTGATATCATCTGGGAAGCTCATACATCCTTCCCCAATCTTGGGAAGACAGGAAGAGCAGGTTCTGTTATTTTGGCTTCTGAATCCCATGCTGTCTACCAAGTCTCCACGACTTTGACAAATGGCATAGGATGGGTGTTCACAGAATGAGTTTATATAATATGTTGACAACTTAGTAATTAAAGCCTGCTGTGTTTAAGCTTACACATACCTTGACATGTTTTCAGTTACAGAATGTCCTCCATGTAAATTTTATTTTCCCTATTATTTTCATTTGATTGTATAAAGAATGGCAACAAATGAACAAGTCTGCTAAAAGAAGAATGAGCTCCCACCCTTGAGCAGGGTGAAGAGAGCATTCATTTAAGGATATGTCCCAACTGGGTTGTGAGACCCTGAGGCTGGTGGGAAGGACATCCTCAGAGAGGGGTGGCCTGGGGAGGGTTTTTGAGCCCAGGCTGGGTGAGGAAGGTATCCGTGCAGGAGGTTGGTGGCCTGGGGAGTCCTCAGAGCCCCTAAGGGCATGTGGGGTCATCCATGGAGAGAGGCAGAAGTGGTGGCCAGACCTTGGAATGTGGGGTCCCAAGTGTGATGAAGAGCAAGTGCATACTTAGAGGGGAGTGGGTGGTGGCAGCAATCAAAGATTGTTTACATATTGGGAAATTAATCAGACAATTAAATAGATTAAGCATAATGGGAGACAGATTTCCCACTGTCAGAGAAGGGGAAAAAACTAAATAAACCCTGGGGTATTGGATTGGAATTGGTAGTATAAGTGTAAACATATGGTTTTTCTGATATATGTAGAGGTAGGTAAAGAAATATACATAGATACACATGTATTCCTGGCTCTGTCCATTGACAGGGTGTGGATGAAAGGATATCCCAGTAACAGTGAGCAAGACACCTGCACCCAGATCTAGTTGTTTCAATACCATTTTCCACAAAAAGGAACCAGGTTCCTTGTATTCATAAAACCGGCTGATTCCATGGCTGGGGCAGGGAAAGTATAAGGTGAGACAGAAACATCTTTTAGCATGTCAGAAACTAAGAAAGTGCTCAGAGAATTATGGGGACCTGTCAAAAGGACACAGGACCAGCTTGAAGGGGCTCCAACTGGCCAAATCTAGGACAATTTGCATTTCAAAATAAATAATAATATTAGTGAATTATAACCCATTGAACAAAATAGAAAACTATAAATCTATACTGATATGAATAAATTATAAGTTGGATGAAGAATGGGTTTTTTATTCTCAAAGTACCTCTGCACAAAATACTTATTAATTGCAAAGAGAAAAAGAGAACTTCATATCGAAGAAGTCTGGCAGACACCAGACTTAGTCAAGTGAGCAAAGTGAACATCACCAGTAATAGGGCAAATTAAAACGGTGCACCACCGATAGTGTGTAACAAGACCACAGCTTAACATCTGCAACGTTCCTGCCAAAGACACGTAACCTAAATGTAATCATGGGGAAACAAAAGGCAATCCTAAACCAGGGCATTCTACAATATAAGCTTCTTATTGTCTTCAAATGGACCAAGGTTATAAAAGTTAAGAAAGTCAGAGGGACAGTTCTAGAAGTAGAATGAAGGGACCTGCAATTAAATCCAACTGTGGTTCTAAAGCAGATCCATTTACAATAAAGGGTGTTACTGAGACAATTAGACAGGGTCTGAAGATTAGATGGCAATTATGTATAGATGTTTTCTCATTTTTGGTTTTATTGTGGTTACATAGGACAATGTCCTTGTTTGAAGGAAATGCACACTAAAGTATTGTGCAGTTATAAGGCATGAGGGTGGTAATTTATTCTCCATGATTCAGAAAAAAGTCTTTGTACTGTACTAATAATTTTTCTATGAAAGAAATTGTTAAGTAAAACATACTATATAAAAAATAAATATGGGCCGGGCGCGGTGGCTCACGCTTGTAATCCTAGCACTCTGGGAGGCCGAGGCGGGCGGATTGCTCAAGGTCAGGAGTTCAAAACTAGCCTGAGCGAGACCCCGTCTCTACTATAAAAATAGAAAGAAATTAATTGGCCAACTAATATATATATATGAAATTAGCCGGGCATGGTGGCTCGTGCCTGTAGTCCCAGCAACTCGGGAGGCTGAGGCAGTAGGATTGCTTGAGCCCAGGAGATTGAGGTTGCTGTGAGCTAGGCTGACGCCACGGCACTCACTCTAGCCTAGGCAAGAAAGCAAGACTCTGTCTCAAAAAAAAAATAAAATAAATAAATAAATAAATAAATAAATATGTAAGAAAACAAAAGATGTTTCATGTAAACTTTACACACAGACACAGGCATACTTATTTCTGTGGCTATCATAAATGATTAGACAAGGGTGTTCAATCACACTAGTCTAGTTTGAAGCAGAAAAATGTAGCTAGTGTAAAGCTCTAGGCCAAGTGTCTCTGGATTATTATTACTATTATGATCATTATTACTTTTAAATTTAAAGTAATATATTATAAATATATGGAAAAGTCTTAAGAATAGTCCAAAAAACTTCTATGCACCTTTAAACTTCACCTAGATTTAATGTTTGTTAACATTTTATGATATTTGATTTTTCACCTCTCTCCCTATCTATATATTTTTATTCTAAAGTATTTGATAAGTTGCAGACATCATGCCCCTTTCCCTTTAAATACTTCTACCAATAATAAAAATAAATAAATAAATACTTCTACCTCTGTCTCCTAAGAGTAAGGATATTCTTCCATATAACCATAGTACGATGATCAAGTTTAGGAAATGTATTATAGCCATACTATAATACATTAGCCATACTATAATACATTTATTACATGCTATAATACATTATTATATATATAATACATTAATATAGCCATACTAGAATACATATCCTAAACCTGATCATCGTACTATAGTACGAAATATTATAGTATTGCTATAATATTTTATCTAATATACACTGCATATTCAAATTTTGGCAATTACCACACTAATTTTCTTTATAGCAATTATTTTCCCATTTCAGGATCCAATCCAAGATCATACATCACATTTAGTTGTCATGTCTCTTTAATCTGGAACAGTTCCTCAGATTTCTTTGTCTTTCATGATAGTGACAGTTGTTTTTTAAAATGTTCCTCCACGTGGGTATGATGTTTACTCCTTCCCCAGTTTTGTGCCAGTTTTCCCATGTGTTATAGATATCTCTTCTTTTTCTGCTTTCTTGAGTTGAACCAAATCCCAGAAATAGACACTTGTTTTGATAAATGGATTGTTCATAACATAGGCTGCTTTTTTGTTTGTTTGTTTTATTTACTGTGCTGGGTGCCCTATAAATCAATACCTGAAGAATTTCAATAATTTAGAATTATATAAAGATAGCTAATAGACTAGTTGAAAGAACTAATTTATATAAAAATAGCTAATAGACTAGTTGAAAGAGCTAATTCATAGTTTGGAATTAACTATTTCCCATTGACTAAACAATTAAGAATAACTCTACACAGCAAGATACAAAGTATAGATTTACAAACTATCATATACCCAGTGTGGATCTGACATTCATTACCAGTTACATCTTTCTAAAGCATCTACAAAACTCTTAGCTTGAAGGAATTGGGGGTGGTGTGTCTGTTCTACCTGGGTCTTCTTTCATTGTGTTGGTTCAATGTTGAGCTCTCATGCAGGTTCCTTCCCTAATAATAGAGCACATGGTATTATAATGAGGCTTGTGAGTACATGAAGTAAAAAGGTAGAGAACAAATTGTAAGAGAAAGATGAAACAACCTGAAAGCAAGCAGTTATTAAGTGCACTTAGTGTCAGGAAAGGTGGGGTGAGATGGTATAGAAACCCTGAGTAGAAGGATTATGCTAAATATAGAAAGAGAGATACCTACATGAAAGACATAGGAATATAACAGTGCTAATTATGTAACAAAACATTTGCCTCATGTAGAAGTAATATAACTTCAAGGTTCTCACAGATACATTATTTTCTTTCCTGCCAATATGGGTAACTGTTAGCTTATAAAGTATAAACATCGTAATGTACAATTTAATAATATTAGGAATGTGTGTCCAGCTGGAAGCCTGTTTCCCTAATCATATGCATATTTCTGCAATATTTTTGATGAATTATATTTTGTAACAGCTAAGCAATATCAATATATATGTTATTCTACTAAAACAAACACAAAAAGTGTGTATGTGGGTGGAGTTTGTGCTTAAGCATTTATAAAGTTAACATTACTTCCGAATTTTTTAAAGTAATTGCCTAAGAAAATGATATTTTGTTTTAATCTGTTTCAGATGCAAAATGCAAGACACTGGATATGGGCTGGGCCTGCTTCACTTTAATTGCTGAGTGTGCTGCCACCTGGTGTTCTATAAGGGCCTCTATCTTTTAGGCAAATGAGTTTGGTATTTCCTGTTGCCTGTTGGACATCACACTGGAAAGTGTCTCCTCACTGCAACCTCTTCATGTCGGATTGTAGACATCTCAACTTTTCATCCCTGACTTTCTTATTCCTATTGCTGTTCCCAGCACTGGGTACATCTGACATAGACAGTGCCTGACAAATCAATAACTATTAGTTGGATGAATGAATGAATCATGTTTGTTGCCCAGATAAGAAAGCTTGATGCCATGTTTAATTTTCTCTTCTTTCTTCTGCCAGTGTCTTACTTTCCTTGAATGCCTGTGGCTCTTGCTTTCTGTACCAGAGATGTATAAATAGGGTGCTCAAGTGGATAAGGCTTTAGAGGCAGTAGATATAGGTCTAGATTCCAGCTTTGTCACTTACCAACCAGATGAATTAGGAACATTAATTGTTTTAAGGTGTGAAAGGAGATGGGAGAATGTAACACTGCTTACCCATCTCTACCCTCTCATACGCACATACTCTGAACATAACCAAAATATTGTGATATGTTAACCTTTGTGCATTATGAGGAATGGACGCCCATGGTATTTTATCTCAACATTAAAGGAAACAGACCCACAGAAAGCTGAAGGACTTAGAAGCATCTGAGTTACATTTGAAAAGCACTTGATATGATGCTTAGGACAAAGGAAACATTCAAACATGGTATGAATAACTAGGTCACTAACCAGCTATTGTCATTGCCATTTACTCAGAAGTGGATCGTGTATGTAGCTGTTCTATGATAATCTCTTGAAGTGTTGAAATGAATTTCTGGTTCTCTCTAGTGCATGCTGGTATTTTATCTTCATATAAAGATAATACAGGGTATTATTCTCTCTAATACAGGGTAAACTGTGAGCTTAGGGGCCACAGCTAGTTCTTCTGCATATGCGTCAAAGCTCCTAGTCTCTAATCTTGTATCCAGCAAACTCTTAAAATGGTTTTTGACTGGGCTGTCCTGATACGTGGCACTAACTCTTCATTTATGCATTTTGTTGATAAACAAGGATAACCTGGATAATTCAACCTTTGGACATTCTCCAGCTCTCAGCCCCTTCTCCTCACTATATCTTTAAAGGGCTGTTTCCCTCTTTAAAGAGGAGATGATTTTAGATTAAATTGCTTGTCATTCTTTAAAATGCAGACTGTGCTTGGGATTTTTAATTTTTTGCTGGGACCAAAGTGAAAACCTTATTCCAACAGGGTTCTGGCTTGCAGCTTATCCAAGGAAGTTCATGAGCAAAAGGACATCATTCTACAAGTGGCTTCAGACAGCCATCCTATCACCTGTGCTCTAGGGTGTCCTGCAAATGTGAGGCCCACAGGATTTATTTCTGTGGGTGTGGCTAAATGGCCTCCATACAACCAGTTCTTTTTTTCAATCTGTGCACAGTGAGAAGATAGTTCTTTAAAAAAGTTTTTTAAACATTTTTATTTATTTATTTATTTATTTATTTATTTATTTATTTATTTATTTATTTATTTATTTATTTTAGCAGCAGGGCTTCCTATGCTGCCTGGGCTGGTCTCAAGCTCCTGGGCTCAAGGATCCTCTCACCTCAGCCTCCTGAGTAGCTGGCATTAGAATACAGTTCTTTGACCCAGAGCTGGAATCATCATGTGTCACACTGCTTATTTATTTGTCAGCTCACTAAAACTTTTTGCTGCAAAAGAATGATCACTCACATAACAGCTAGAAGTAAGGGAAGGTGTGGTAAGAGAAAATGCTTCCTACTTCTCACCTCTGGAATACCTGAGATACTCTATTCAACAAAACTTACCATTTAGAACCTTTCAAGTTACATTCATTTTCTTATAAGTGAATAAAACAGTTCTCATTATAAAAATTAATGCTAGTGTAAAAAGAATTGTGATTTCTATGATAATAAATCCTCAGTCTCTATTTATTTTGGTTTTATTTTATGGCATTTAAAAAATATTAGTTAATTTTCTTTTTAAAAAAAAATTTTGCACATATTTTTTTAGATTTATTCTTCTACACTTTTATTTTTGTTCCTATTATAAATTACATCTCGGTTTTGAGTTATATTTTATAATTGCATGCTGCTGGTATTTTAGAATGCTATTAATTTTTGTGTATTTATCTTTTTTTGTATATTTATCTTCTAATAGATTCTCGGTATAGTACTTGGAATTTCTGTGTAGGCAAACATGTTCAATAAAAATTTTGTTTCTTTTTAATTCTTATCCTTTTATTTTACTTTTTCCCCTTGTCTCATTGTGTGACAAACTAGAGCACAATGTTGACTAAAAATGGAGATGGAGCATCTTGTCTTATCCCTAAATTTAGACCAAATATTTTAAAAATTTCACCATTAAGTTGGATGTTTGTTATAGGATTTTTCATAGATAATCCTTTAACAAGTTAAGGCAGCTTTCTCTATTCTTGGTTTGCTAAAGATTGTACCACCAATGAGTGTTGAAGTTTAGCAGAATAAATTTTCTGAATCTATTTTTCTCCATATTCATTAATATGATGAATTTTATTAGCATATTTTCTAAAGATATGTTATCTTGATTTCTTGAGAAAACTTCTACTTGGTTCTGATGGATTTTTAAAAAATAAATGATTTTATTATAGATTTGGGTGACATATTTTATTTGTATCTATGTGTAAAAAGGAGATTGCTAAATAATTTTTCTTTCCTAATGTTCTTGGCTAATTTATTATTAAGATTGTGTTAGCCCCATAAAATGAGTGGAGAGTAGCTTTTCCCTCATTTTTCTACTCAGTGTAATTAATACTTTGTAAAGTATTAGAATTATAATTTTCCTTAAAATTTTTAAATAGAATTTACATATGAAAAACTGACTGGATTGATGCTTTCTATTTTTTTAGAGTCATTTTTAGAAGTCATATATTTCTAGGAAACAATCCACTTGGTCTGCATTTTAAAATTTATTTTCCACAAAGTTGTTCATAGTGTTTTCTTATGTCTTTCCAAAATGTGCTACTGTATTGACAATTATGCCTCCTTTTTGTTCGAAATATTCTTTATCTGTATTTTATCTTCCTTTCTTTCTTCTTAGATTAATCTTGCTGAAGTTTGCATATTTTTATTAATCTATTTAAAGAACAGGCTTTTGATGTTTATTTTTTCTACTGACTTTTTGTTTATTGAGTTTATTACTTGCTTCATTTTTTCTCTCTTTGCATTTACTTCACAGCCCTTTTTCTCTTATCTTTGGATTTGATCATTTAATTTATTAATATTTGATTCTCCCTCGCTTCTCATTGAGTTAAGGGAACTTGGACAACTCTGTGCAGCACATTTTCTATGGGACAATGTTTTCTTTGTGACTATAAGGATTGTAAATTCTCACTGAAGACCATGGTAAAACAAAGCTAAGGCCATTCCATTTCTAGGAGATAATTTAATATAAGTTATATTTAGAGGAAGAAATCCAGAATGAGCTGTTCTAGAGAAATACTCTTCTAGACAACTTTCTGTGATGATGGAAATGTTCTAAAATGCATACTGTCCAATATAGTAGCCACAAGTCACACATTACTACTGAGCACTTGAAATGTGGCTAATGCAACTCAGGAACTGAAGTTTAAAGTTTATTTAATTTTAGTTCATTTAAATTTAAATTTGACTTTGAATTTAATTCACACATGGCTGGCTAGTGACTTCCATATTGGAAAGCACAGTTCTAGAGTCTTTGTATTATTACCTTTGTCACAGAGTGTGCTTACCTACAGACATTAAAAAGAGAATAAGAAAGTTTCTCTCCCTTTCTCTTTCCTTCCTCTCCTGAACAAGTCAGTCTTAAAAACCTTAGATGTATTATTGCCCTCATTTTATATAATTAGCATTTGTTTTGATTTATAGAGATGTTTATAGTTCCTAAGCTCAGTCTTGCTTCTTGCTCCCTTCTGGTTTTTGTGTGTTTAATGTGTTTTCTGAAGTGTCTCCTTTAATAATTCCTTCTGAGAAGGTCTGTGACTGGTATTTCTATCTTTGTTTATATCTTTAAAATTTTGACTTCAATCTCGAGTTAGGATGGACATATAAATCCTTTGTCTTCGGGCTTCCACTGTTGCTATTGGGAAGTCTGTCATTCTGATTTTCATTCCTTTGTAGATAACATTCTTCACTTTTGCAATATATTTTTTGTCTACAGTAAGCACTCATTCTCTTTGTTTCAGTACTGTTGTCTAAGCAGGGATTCATTTATTTCTTTGATCTGAGGAGTCAAGTGTTTCTTAAATTCTGGAAAAAATTTAAAAGCATATTGCTTGCCTACCAATTCTATTATTTCTCCTTAAAACATATTTTATATGTATCTTTAATTTTCATTCTCTTAACTGCCCTGTCACTTAACCTCTCATTTGCATTTCCATCTATTTTTCTCTCTGCTGCATTATAGATAATTTCCTCATACTAATCTTTCAGTTCACTAATTCTTTCATTGCTTATGTCTAATCCAACTTTCCATAGGGTTTTTCTTTTTACCTTAAATGTCTATCATCTTTATTTCTGGAATTTCTAGTTGATCGTTTTCTCCAATCTGCCTGCCTTCATATCACAGGGTCGTATTCTTTCTTAAAAGTTTTGTTTGATTTTCATGTCTTTGATTTTTAAAATAGCCTTTCTCAATATTCTTTACCAGACTTATAGTCTATTAAATTTAGTTCTGGGAGTTGTAAATTTACTGTGTTGTTTCTGTTGACTCTCACGTCTTGTTTCCTCTCACAAGCTACATTTTCATAATGAGCTCATCTTTGTCAGGACTTGGTTTTCTGTGAGAATCTTCTGTAGTGTGGGTTGTAAGAACATAATTTTAGAGCAGTGTTAACATTTGCTTTTGCTAAACGTTCTGAATTTTTTTACATGACTTGGATGTTGCAATTTCAATTCAGAAATTCAGGTAAGGTTCTGGTCTGTGGCTTTGGATAGTTACGGCTGAATTCTTCTCTCCATATCTCCCCACTGAGACAAATTTCCTTGATGTCTTGCAAAAGTGTGATTTTTTTTTGGTCCATTTTAAGCGGCATGACTCTACAGAAGGGTCTCAGTTACAACTCCTTCCTTGCATGGGCCCAGGGTCTTATCACCTACCTCTACCCAAGCATTAAAATCAACTTCCTATACTTCTAAGCCTGACATCCCAGCAGAATATCAATATTACCTTAATATTTGGCCTCAGTTTCTGGGCCTGATTCTAGCTCAGCTGTGCATTTTTTAAAAAGCATTTATTTTGACATACAATCACCTGAATCAAAGCACCATAAAACCAAGGATTTTGCCTTGTTTACTACCATATCCCAAAGCCTAGATAAGTGCCTGGCACAGTGTAGGAGCCCAGTAAATATTTTTCAAATGAAACAAAGAATGAATGAATCCACCCCCTGCCATATGTGTGTGTGTATTTTTCTGGGGGGCAGAAACATGTCTACATGTCTGGAGTGGGACCCTTTTCAGATTGTCTAGAAGGCACTAAAGAGACATATTACCTGAAATGGTGGTGCATTCCACCTCCTCATCCACTGCATGGCACATGGTAAAATCTTAATATTAGTTCCCGATCCAATCACTCAAACCCAGCCTCCAGCCCTTCCCTTAGGCTGAGCCCATTTCCAGCCAACTCTTCCTGGCCATGGTTCCTGCCCCCAACTCCTACTTGACCTGCAACCCAACTCTCATACCCCTCATTTCCCAGATCTACTGCACAGCCACAAACACTGCCCCCTGCTTCCTAACATATTCTATCAAGCCTCTACTGGAACACAAGCATCAAGAGGCCAATAACTTTATTTTGTTCACTGCTGTACCCCAAAGCCTAGAGAAGCACGTGGCACAGAATAGGAACTCAGTAAATATGTCTTGAATAAAACGAAGAATGAATGAATTTAATCATTACCCTCACTGAAATACTGTATGCTATAAATATACAACATGCAATTAAAAGCTTCTGCTCTAAAGTAAAACAAAAATAGCAGAAACATGCAGTCTGAAGCTTTAAATGGCTTTTCAAAAACTTTACCAATGTGTGATACTGCTTCGCGTTTCCTTTTACAGTTTCCAACATAAAACAAAGTAACAGACAAGGGCTAAGAAAACCCAAACCCTCTGTTATAAAGAAGAAAAAAATAGAAGCAAAAGATTCTGCTGTAAAATTTAGACATGGCTTTTAAAAAATGTTTAAAGCCCAGCCTCAGTTTCCAATTAAAATCAAACAAATTAAAGTCCAAAAGCAAGTCATTTTTCTTTATAGAAATCTTCTACCATGTTTCCGTACTTGAAGCGGGTGCGAGGGCCTTTTTAGAAATTTATTTTTTTAAAAGTCCTCTAAGACTATGTTTCTAAACAAACAACGTTTTCAAATAAAATAAGCCACAGAAAAGCAAGCCAAAGCCCCAAAGCAGAATTTTGTCAAACACTTTTAAAAAACCCATCCAGTTCAGTTTCCAATTAAAACAAACAAACAATAAGAACATACAATACACAAATTTACTGTTTTTCTTTGAAGAGGCTTCCCATACATTTTCTGAAATTTTTTCTCTAAAAGTTTTTTAAAACATGTTGTTTTTTATTTAATGTAAAAATTCCTCTCTTAAAAAACAGCCCACAGTCTATATGGTTGAAGCCCTAATTACAAAGAGCTAAAATTGGAGGCACTACATACATATGCTTTCTCCTTTGGCAGCTTTGAAATTAAGGGATGCGTATTTGGCAGGACGTAAAGGCTTGCAAGGGCTGAGACCTCAAATGGAACCGAGTGCGCATGCTCCTGGGATCTAACTTCCTGGCCGAGATTTTCCCAAGGAAGCTCTGACGGTGGCCGACAGCGCCCCTCAGACCTCCCATGTTGCTACATTCTGTAATACCGCAAGAGGAATATACGTTCTGAGAGTGGTAACTGGGATTTGAAGAAAATATTGGCGTTTGCAGAACTTTATCATGTTAATGTGCCTCAGGCCCTTCCAAAATGATCTTGTGTTTTATGGAAAGATTAAAAAAAAATAACCTGTTCAAAACGAATTCTTTAAATACTGCACAGTGGTCTTGAGGACATTCTCATTGGTAAATGACTGGGTAAAAATGTTAGTAGCATTTCATGCTTTTTTTTTTTTTTTACTGGAATTGTTTAAGCATGTCTTTTTACTGGGGGGTTAAAAATGTTTTCTACTTGCCTGGGGTTTAGAAGTTAGTCCATTTTATTGTTCTATAGGCTTCTCCAGCTAGAAATCCTCCCAGGGAAAAGAATCTGGGGAGACCCACTCCTGATCCTCTAAACATAGTTATGGGGGTGGGGGGAGATATGTTGACTTACCCTGTGAGGTTGTAAAGAAAATAAATTTACAGAAGACCAGGTAAATTTATAAACTGGAATTCAGTGTCACCAATAGAGTTCACAGCCCTATGAATGGCCTAATTCTCTCCTGGCTCTATCCTATACCTAGAAGTTCCTGATTCATGGGCAGATACACCTACACTGGGTTATCTATATTTCCAGCATCTTGCACTTTTCAAAGGTTCTAGCTGAGGGGCTGTGGGAAACACTTCAAAAGCTCAGTGGATCTCCTGCTTACTTGGGATTTCCAGTTTGTTAGACAGATGGACCATTGGTTACCATGGGAATCACCCGTGGCTCAGAAGAATGGAGCTGGTGACCTTGAGTTAGCGATTCATTCAAATATTCAGAACAATGTAACTGGGTTTTTGTTTTGTTTTGTTTTGTTTTTGAGATAGAGTCTTGCTCTGTCACCCAGGCTAGAGTGCTGTGGTGTAAGCCTAGCTCACAGCAACATCAAACTCTTGGGCTGAAGCAGTCCTCCTGCCTCAGCCTCCCGAGTAGCTGAGACTACAGGCACATACCACCATGCCTGGCTAATTTTTCTATTTTTTGTAGAGACATGGTCTTGCTCTTGTTCAGGCCAGTCTCGAACTCCTAGCCTCAAGCAATCCTCCTGCCTGAGCCTCCCAAAGTGCTAGGATTATAGAAACCCGGACCCCATGTAGCTGTTTTGAACTTAGGTACAGAATGTTTGGTGAATTTATTTCAATTCTCATCTGGATATAATTTCTCAGGCCTTAACAGCTGCAATTTCTTCTATTTGGTGAATATTTTATTTGTTTATTTATCTTTTAAGGATAAAAGTGCTAAATTTAAGCAGTGGTTGTTTTTAGCATGAACAAGACATATAGTGTGTTTAAATCATTATTGAATTCCCCTCCCATCCACTGGTGTTGCTGTTAGTTGCCATATTCCCTTATAGGAGCAACTGCAATTTCTGAATTAACCAGTATGGCATAAATAACATTGACTAAATCTTTGATAACGATAATTATTTGAATTAGCTAGTGATTTTGACCACTCTTAGAAGTGTCTTAGAAACTCAGGTTGTTTGGTTATCTTGTCTATAGTGGAAATAGGATATATGCAAACTTTAATATCTTAAAAAGAATACTGGTCCCAGTTGAGCTAGTACCAGGTGAGTTGTAGCATGCAAATAATTTTCCTATTGGTATAATTAACTCCATCTTGGCTATCTCATGATGGGCTGCCATAAGTGTGCAGAGAACTACTCGTATGGCCTGATAAAGATTTCTCCTCATCTTTAAAATACTGCATTTTGGTTGTCCTGAATCTGTCTATTCCATGGTTTGAAATTAAAATGTTAGTTGAAAGTGCTGTTTCACACACACAAAGCCTCCAACTCTCTTCTTTTCTCAGCATGGGTCAGGATTTTCACCTCTCTTGAGAAGAAAAGATCTTATCTCATTTTTTATAGGGTTATAAATGTTATGAACATAAATTCTAACACAACCTCCATGGTTTCTGAGACAAATCACAAAGTTATAGAACAATATTGCTCTACTTGATTTGGAACAGTAAAAAATGTTGTAAGAGAAATATAGCTTACCTAGAGAGAGTGGCCATTTCTACTGTTCAGAAATGGCTTTGCCATCACAATAAATACACAAAGGGATAAATTTTAAAAGGGGTGGTGGCTTTTCTCACCCAAAGTTGACATCTGCTTCTCCAAGAGAAAGGGAAGAGGGTATAAGTGGAGCAGAAGGGAAGCATTCTCTTTGAGCAACTGTCTAGTCTCGAGCCTTTGGAGTTAGCCATGTGTAAACAATTAAAATCTGACGCAGAAAGAGTGAAAAAACCCTCAATATAGAAGAATGAGTAACACTTTATAATACTGTGGGTATCTATCTATTTAGGGCCAATCTGGGTTTACAAACTGAAGTGAGTAGATGAAGATGTACAAGCTAGGAAATGGCACAGAGAGATTAAGCAATTTAACTCTGATCAAAACACCAGCAAGTGGAGGAGCCATAATGAGTCCCAGTCCCCTCCATTAGGAAGTGGACAGTGCTGCTTTCATTCAAAACTGCATGAGTTCAGAGCCAGAGGGAATACAAAACTGTCTGACAGCACACACACAAAAGAAGAAATTACTTTTTAAAGATATTCAGTGTCTAGCATTTTTGACTGTACCTTCCCATCATCCTCATCAACTTAACAAATATCAAAACAAATTTGATTATTTGCAAATTCTTAGTAAAATTAGAGGAAAATTTTGACTAGCATACGAGTCCCAATTCCAGCATGTGGTGAGCACATTTGTGTCTGGTTACCTTGGCATCCAGTCCAGGCAGTCCTTCCTCCTATGTATATATTTGGATCATTAACTTACCATTTACTAGAATTACATGTTCCACTGAGGTGATTTATATACATTATCCTATTTAATTTTTTCAATCATCTTGCAAGATAGGTATTATCAGCTCATTTTAGAGACAAGAACACTTAGATTCGAAGAATACATTGCTCAAAGCTTGAAAGCAGTGGAGCTGGATTTAAATTTGAATCTAACTTCAAAGCCCTTGATTTTTCTACTATGGATTATTACCTTTTACATATTCTGTGCAGAATATAAAATCCTGCTCAACCCTTCCCATCTCCTTCAACCAGAGGGGCACTGGAGCCGGCTTGTGGGAGACAAGTGTGAGAATCTTTCTCAACTCCACATTCCACAACTTTACATCAGTAGCATGAACTGAGCACTGGTGCAAGTATTTACACCACAAAAATTAGCAAATGCTACAAATTAGTGCTTTTCAGAGAGCTGTTTGTGAGCTATTAACCAGTACAGCACACCCTGCCTTTAAACTATAGCAATCTCTCCTCTTCCTGAGTTCCTGGTTTGTACATGTTAGAATCAACAATATAGTCTTCCAAATTTCACATCAGTGAATCTTATTCCTGCAAACAATATAGCATAGGGGTTGGCAAATACTAGGCCCAAGATGCTAGAAAACAGAATTGGATTTTAAAAGGCTCTGAGCACAGGAGGCAAGAAAGGTGCTAAATCTACCAGCAGGGGGTGCCCAATTTCCAGACAAGAGTACTTTGTCTTCTCTTTCGGAATACAGAAGTGATGCAAAAGAAAAATATAGGCCCTGGCTTAATGAAATTTGTCAGAAACTCATACATTAGAAATAAAGACTACTTAAATAAACTTATATCATCCTGTTTCAACATGGACAATTTTGTTTCATCTACTCTTATCCCCTTGAATTATTTGTATGATGATTCAAATATTAGATTTCAAATCATTTCATTCATAAATATTCCAGTATGTACATATAAAGAAGGAGGACAATATTATCCACACACCTAAAACATTCATTATAATTTCCTAAATCATTAAATATCCAGTCTGCATTTTAATTTCCCCAATTATATTGTAAATGTTTTGTCACTATTTATTTGAATCAGACTTACAGCTGGGCATGGTGGCTTGTGCCTGTAATCCCAGCTACTCAAGAGGGTGAGGCAGGAAGATCGCTTGAGGTCAGGAGTTCAAGACCAGCCTGGGCAACATAGTTAGACTCCATCTCTAAAAATAAATAAATAAATAAGAATCGGACTCAAATAAGTTCAAGGATATATAGTCATGCCCCAAATAATGACATTTCAGTCAATGATGAACTGCACAAAGAATAGTGGTTCCATGAGATTATAATGCTATATTTTTACTGTACCTTTTCTATGTCTAGATATATTTAGATACACAAATACTGTTGTGTTACAATTGCCTACAGTGTTCATACAGTAACATGCTGTATAGGTTTGTATTCCAGGAGCAATAGGCCATACCATATAGCAGAAGACACATTTCTCAGAATATATACCTATCATTAGGCAAGGCACGACTGTATTCTCATTGCTTGCTCTTGGTCATGTGTTCATATTTGCATTAACCACAGCGACCTGTGGGCACCACACACTGTGATCAGCCACAGTTGGATAATATACACACTTGCAGCATCAGATGGAGGGGATTTTTTGTAAGAGGGGCCATGGGGTGCTGGATAAACACAAACAATATCCAATGCAACCAACATATCCAATACTATATCGTTATGTAGTGTTGCATTTTGTAAGGGACCTCATCAGCCTGCCACTGTAACACAGAGTGACACATCCTGTGTTATCTCAAATTGACTGACTCTGAGGCATTAACCACCCTCAGGAATCCTCCCAGCTCTTTCCGAGAGTTTTAAGGGGTTCTTCTCCTGCATGTTCTAGAATGACTTTCTCTGCTCCTCACTCCCTCCCTGCCGCCCTGCCTCCTAATCCCCACCCCGCTCTGTCGCCTCTTGTGTGGTGGCTCTTCTGGGAGCAGTGCTGCATGGGTGATTGCTACTTTTACCCCATTGCCCCCCTTGGGCAAGGGA